AGCAGGACCGACCAGTTTCCTGCTATCATTAAAGAAACAATGCTGCGATAGAATTAGCATCTCCAGGCAATCACTTCCAACCCCCTGAAATTTCTGGAATATATGCACCTGTTGCCAAAACAACCCCTCTCACAACCCTCGCACCTCTTTTCTCAAAAGAAAAAAAAAGGAAAAAAAAAATAGAAAAAAGTTTTGAAGCACTTCAGCAGACAAATATCGCTCATGCGTTTTAGACACCGGGCTGGCTGGCGGCTGGAGCAGGAAGCGCAAAGGCTGGGCAGGGTTTCGGGGAAGCAGGAGCAGACAGAAAGCCTGGGGGTGCGCGGGGGGCTCCCGCCGCCCCGTTTGGAAAACAAGTGGCGTGCCTCGGCCGCAGTGCCTTCTTCCGCGCGTCCCAGCGGCAGGACGAGCGCGACCCCTCCGCGGCGGGGAGGGGGCGAGAAGGACGGGACACCGCAGACATCGCACGGCGCCGGGCCACGCTCACGGCGGGAGGGCGGCGGGACCGAGCGCGGCCCGGCCTTGCCCGGTGCGGCCCCGCGGCCGCTCCTCCATTGTCTCCCGCGGCCCCACGCGGCCCGGGTGTCCCACCTGCCGCCGGGGGAGCGGGGGGACCCCGCCGGCCGAACCGACTCACCTCCATCTTCGCGTCGCCCCCGGCCAGGCCGGCGGCGCAGGGCGGCCCCGTCCCCGCGGCCTCGCCGGTGTTGGCACCCGGCGGCAGCGGCGGCGCGGGCGGCTCGTCCGGCCGCGGCGGCTGCCCGGCGGACATGATCCGCGTCGTGAGGAAACGGCGCCTCGCCGAGGCTCGGGCTGGCGTCCGGCGGGCTGCGTGCTGCGGACAGGCGCGGGCGGCAGCCGGGATCTGCCGGCGGCGGCGGCCTGCGGGTGTCGGAGCGCGGCCGGCGGAGGGAGCGAGGCCCGGCCCGGCCCGTCCCGGCGGGAGCCGCCAAGCCGCGCGCGAGTCGCCCCGCGAGCCCGCGCTCGCGAGACTTCCCCCGCGAGCAGCGCGCGCCGCCGCCGGTGGGGGCGCTGCGGCGCGCGCCGGCCCCGCCGAGCTCGGCGGCGCTCGGTGCGACCGCGGCGTCCCCGCCTCCCTGCGATGCACAGCCGTACGGGAAACCTGAGTTCAGATCGCGGCTGGCATCGCGTTTCACGCCCTGTGTACGATCACAGCGTATTCCGAGTTGGAAGGGACCCGCGAGGATCGCCGAGTCCGCCTCCTGGCCCTGCACAGGCCATGCCCGAGGGTCACACTGTGCCTCAGCGTGGTCCGGATGCTTCTTGAGCTCGTGCTGTGGCCACTTTCCTGGGGAGCCTGTTCCAGCGCAGGCCCAGCCTCTGGGGGTAGGATTTTTTTCCTGACATCCAACCTAAACTTCCCCAACAAAACTTCAGGGCGTTCCCTGGGGGATCCTCTCGCTGTCACCACAGAGAAGAGCTCAGTGCTTATCCCTCCTCTTCCCTTCAATCTCTAACTGCAATGGGGTCTCCCCTCAGTCTGCTACAGGCTGAACTGACCTCAATTGCTCCACACGTGGCTTCGCCTCAAGGCCCTTCACCATCTTCACAGCCCTCCAGGAAAGGCTCAGGAATCACCTGAGGAGGTGAAGCCATGCTCTGGCTGGAGCCCAGCAGCAGCCCCGCACCCCGTGCGGGAGCGGCAGGGAGCGTGGTTAAAGCAGGTGACAGCAGTGTGCTATACCGTAAGTTACTCAAGAGGCAGCTTCAGGTTGCTCTATGGGCTCCTCATCTCTCCATGAGCTCTGGGTAGAGGGACTTGAACATTCACAGAAAGGGTGTCACACAGAGCCACCCTCTAAAGTCCCCTGCTCTCGCTTGCTCAGGTTGATGGAGCCAGGCCAAGTTTGTAGGCACAGAAGTACAGTTTTGTAACCTAAATACAACCACAGTGTCTGCTCCCAGCTTGAAGCATCGTGGGCTGCAGCCCCCTGCTTTAGGATGTGATTGAGCAGATCTACACCTGCAATGCCTCACAGATAACCTGCCAGGTGCCACCTACCAGAGCATGTATCCCAGAACCCTGGAGTGCACGGAATAGGATGAAACTGAACAGGAAAAGCTGCTTAAGAGCACTACTATTGCACTCCAGGTGCTAACAGAGGCTGTCCAAAGGGCCAGACCTGAGCTAGTTAGAAGCAAAACTCCCCTGACTGGTTCACAATGTGGACAGTCATGTTCTCCACATTATCCAAATTGCTCTATACATCTGCAGATTTGTCACACCAGTAGGTATTCCGGCAATATTCACAAGAGTTGTCAGTGTAGATGCAGCCACTGAGTGCACTCCATAGGTTTGTGGAGCTGCATCTTCCATCTTCTGAGAAACCATTGTAGCCTGGAATGTAGCAGCAAAACAGACCATCTTCATGATGATTATTACAACCTTCATTCCATTGTCTTTTATTACAGGCATCCTTTAATATTTTTTGAAGTTAAAATTATTAGCTTTGACATTTCCAAAAGACGGTGTCACTTTTTTTCTGCTAGAACTGCTCAGAAGAATAAATTCCCAGAAAATATCAATTTTCCTAGAATAGGATTTCTCAGCTAATCACAAATTTACTGACATATTTTTCCAACTCCTCGTTGTCCTCTCTTATCACAGATGAAAACTCTGTCCCTGAGCTTCGCTAAATGCTTTTCATTCAGGTACACAGTTTGAACTTTAAAAATACATGTGGCAGCAAATTACAAATTAAAATAACTGTGTTATTTTAGCCAGCTCTATTCTTCCAGCGTAGTTTTGTGTCTACTTGCTGTGCCTCAGCTCCTGCCCCTCTCCCAGAGCTGCTCCAGATAATGCAGTGCTCTCTGTGTAGTGAGGAGTGTAAGTCATGGTGGGAAGGGAGCTACATTCCCCCTTTCCCATTTTTCATCTTTTGCCTCCCCTGCAAAGCACACAAACAAAACCACACATGGAGAATCACTGGTGAAGGAAAATGGGGTAGAAGGCCCTTGGGAAGAAGTCAGGTGTTTGGGAAGAGTGGCGAGGATATTTCAACACCTTTGACACCATCTTTTAGACTAAAACTGATAGGTAGGATCTGGTTTGATGGGGAAGGTAGAAAAGCACAACTCCATCCAAATCTCATTGATCCTTGGCCATCTAGCAAAATAAAACAGCACCATGCCAGGGTGTGGGGGTGTTGAGATATTTGTGTTATTGGTATCAGAAAAGGTGAATGTTCAGCTCTACTTCAACAGGCAAAATAATTGAAAAAAAAAAAAAGAATCTTGCCAAAAGTTAAAAGACAAAAGGCTCTAATTTTTTTTTTTTTGAATTTTCTGAAGTCCTGAAAGTAGCACAGAAGACTATGCAAAAAACCTCCAGAAAACCAAAACTGAAACAAAACCCCACCCAACAACAACAACCAAACCACCCCCCTCCAAAGAAACACCCCAACGAAAGCAGGAAAGAGGACTTTCCAAGTTAACATGAAAAAGTTCACAAACACACAAAACCATAACAGTCCATACAGAGTCCAGATGTGAAGACCTTAAATTGAAAGCAACCAATGGCATAAAGAAATTCATAACAGAAGTTACTGAACCTACTGAACACCTACATAATGGTCAAATGCACAGTAAAGGAAGATATCCCCTCTCAGCCATTACCCAACAGTAGAGACAACTAATTACTAACATGCTTATGAAGTTAGTAAACAACAGTTTAATAACAGATTTTTGTCAAATCTCTCAGGTGACACATCTTTCAATTTTGTTGCTTAGTTGTGCAATCTAATTTTAATTAATGTTCTTTAGATGGCTCCTTGTTAAACAAGAAATTGAAACACCACAAGTAAAAGTAACTCTGATACTATTAGCTGTGCAGCAAGTATGCTAATAGGCATTGCTGAACATGTATCAAAACTGTAAAACTTCCCAAAATTTGGGAAACGGAAGGAGTGAAACAGAGTTGTTTGTAGTTGCTCCATGATATGCTCATTTGGGTTCAAGAAGGTAAGAGAGGGGTAAGAACTTGGTTTGTGTTCAGATCTTAGGTGGGGGATTGTAATTTTTTTTTAGTTTACAGAGCCAAAGCAAGATACTACCCACGTGAGATGAGATACTGCCAGTTCTACTTCCTCACAAGGCTGATGTTGAGCTGGACTATCCCATCAAGAGTAAATACAATTAGACTTATTTCAAAGCCATCACTTCTGTCACTGTCACTTTTCTTCTAGCCTCAGATTAACAGTGCTGCAGGCAAGAGGTGGTGTACACACACACACACGATCAACAGTCAAAGAAGTCATCAAAATAATGCTATATCTATTTCAAAAAACCCAAAAACCACCCCCAAAATAAAACAAAAACCCCAAAACACTCTGCCTATCAGCAAAGGTCACTGTCATCAGCTTTATCGTAACTGTCAACACATTGATTTACAGTATTAAAAAAATCCATCCCCACAAAAAAAAAAAAACCTCAACATATGCAAACAATACCATATATTAATTTCAGTAGATTTCTTAATGCAATGGAAACTTTTTAGAGTTTAACATATGTAGGTGTATACATTTCATCCTTGTGCTTTTTAAATTTTGAGTGCCATGAAGATGACATTGAGATTGTTCAAATTTTAGTGTAGCCATCCTGGTAAAATTAAACTTTCACAGAAAAGAAACAGCCCAGACTTCATCTGACGTGCTTAAGCAAACTGTAAGCCTGTCGTGTGTCTACCTTCAAAAAGTAGACTGCAAATATAGTGACATGTGAAGACCAAAAGTTTTTCAAATTGTGTCCAACCACAAATGAGAGAATATTTGGTAACAGCAACATGGCATGCAGATAGCATATCAGACTCTGCTTGTGCCTAGTTTAAAACAATCCCTTTGATCAGTAAATTTTACCCATGCAAAAAAAGATGACCCCATATGGAGTCAAATGCTGATACTCATTACAGAAATCCTTGAAGAATGGAGATTCTGTAACAAGCAGCACCCTCACAGAAAAAAACCCCAGAACTAATAAAATGCTTTTAGATTTTATTTCTTTGCTGCTATGACTGAAAAGCTCAACCAAAAGGCAATCATATATATTTTTTCAATATGCAAAATAAATTTTTGTATAAAAAATAATGCACAAACACAGACACAGATCATTCCATTTTCAAAACTCCAGTTTCTCCTCCATCTCAGCAACTAGGTTCTGCCCTGGCCCTGTTTCCTTTAATGAAGTTCACTCCTCACCTTACAGTATTGCAACCAGAGCGAGACAGGGCAAGGAAAGACTCTTTTGGAAAACTTACCTCCAGGTATGGGCACAACAGTTAAGCCACTTGACTTACAGAATCACAGAATTAACTAGGTTGGAAAAGACCTTTGAGATCATCAAGATTTCCTCCTACTGCTGTTATCCTTAGAGCAAAAAGGGTCTTTAAGAAGTTGGATATAGACCTTCAGTGAAAGATAGGGATAAATCTGAAGAAGTTGTTTTTTTAAGCAAGACATACTACTTTATTTTTTCTATTTTAACTACATGGGCAGTTTTATCCCTTCAGTAACAGTTCTAGTTGGATTCTACATATACCTAAGTATCAATCTACCTCTATACCCAAAGTTCATACATTGATGCCTCTGCCATGGCATCTTAATCTGATTTTCATTATTTTCTTGCCTTTCTCATGCTGCTATGTTTCTTCTCAGTTGTCATGTGGGCCAATTTTCCCCACAGTGTTTAGATACTTAAATACTCTATTAAAGACTTTGAAAAACACCTTGACAGTTAACATTGATAAGTATCTACTTACCTGTAACTATAGTATCAGAATACACAGGACACACAGCATTCCAATACAGCTTTTATTGCAAAAATGGTGGACCCTCATGTGTGCTGTGGGCTGTGGTTGTTTTCTGTCACGTGTATTTCCTGAGCCTTTGGTTTTAGACATGAATATGCTTTTTGTATTAGCCTATACTCACTGCTTTGGAGTTACTGCTTTGTATACCTCGTCTGAATTCCTTTCTGCAGTAGTGATTATTCTGAATCACAACAGAGATTTGCTACATTAAAAAAAACCTTCTGCTTGCTTACAAAAAACAGAGCAGCTTTTATAAAAGTAATTGGTTTTCAACCCTCCTTCAATTAAAGAGAATAGCTGGGAAAAAATTCATGTCAGAAAGACACAGGAAATCAAAGTAAGACTTCACCAAAGAACTAAGTTTCCTGGAGAAAACGTAACAGCATTTATTCAGATCATTATGTTGCTGGAGATAAAAATTACTATGAGAAAAGTCTGACATTGTGTGTACAGAATGGATAATTTTAGATAATGTAATTTAAAAAATTGTTTGTTTGTTTTTTTAATGCAGAATACCATTCCATTTACAGAACAATAACTGCTTACTTAATTTCAAGTTTCCATCCTTATACACAATGCGCCTACTAAAGGAAAATCTCAAGATCTTAGAACTATCCATTGGAAATTTAAACTTAAAATGTTATCGGGAGCCAACGTTTTCTGATTCTTCATCCCACACTTTAAAGACAGCCCTTCTCCTGGTATACCAAATGCTGTACAAAAAATACAGACCACAAAACCCAAAAAACTGGGGTGAACAGTAGTATTCATAGTGACATCAGCACAGCTCCTAAAGGGCAGCACTGAGTATACTTGCATCACAATCCTAAATATTATCCTATTCATTTTACACAGAGGAAACAAACCCACCAACACTCTCAAAGAGTAAATTTTTGCTTCAACTCTTGATACTGTTTTAAAGTAAACCACTTTTTCAGAGCTTGTTGGTGCTTCCCTGGTACTGGCCACAGGATTTGTGTCCCAGCTTTTAAACTGAGCACTGGAATTGGGGGCAGCTGCACCACATGAGGAGATCAGAGGCTAAATCCTGGTCCTAAGTGGCTCTTTACTTTTTTCCTTCTTTTTATAAAGTTCAAGGGTTAATTTTATTTTGTGCTTCCTCATATTGGGCTGTTAGTGAGTAGAACTAAAGGCAAAAATGTCTTAAGAATTATCACTTCTTTCATTTATGGAGGAAAAAAACATAGTTATAACACAAGGTGTGTTTTTCAAATTCAATTTCTAAACTTATATTTACGTAATTGAGTAGAAATTAGATTTTGAAAAAGTTCTTGTAGCTTTCACTTACTTAAAGAGGAGAGTGGTGCCTTGAATATAAATTCTAAACCAAAAGATCCTAAAAGGATTTGTGTGCCTGGGGAATTTGAGCCCTGTTACACATAATGCCTTTTCACATGCTGTTCTGTGCCTAACTGGGGACCTTACCTCTGAACACTATTTGTTTCCAGCATTTGGGTTTCAATTATGATCAATTTAAAAAAATAGTTAAATATACACACCATGATTTATAGGTATTATTATCATCAGAGGGTTGAATCACTGTTTTGATGCAATTAACTCCAGATTCTGAGGTGCACTAGCAGGCCAGTCTGAGGCATCCCTAAACTCCCAGGCCTGCATCCTTCACCTCTTAACACAAAATAGAAAGAAAAAACCCTTAAACCTTCAGGTAGTCTGCACAGTTTATAATTGTGCAAAAACCAGCACCAATGCACAGAAGCAAGTAGCGATTGTTTCCTCTAAAGTATATTCCCTAAAAAGCATATAAAAATATGAAAATGTACATATTTTGAAGTCTGGTAGGAATTCAGGGAAAATAAGGCATATTTATATTTTCTTCCTCTTCTGGCCTTCCGACTGAAACAATCAAGCTGTCTGGGTACCTTGTGCAAGCCCCCCACACACATTAAACCCAGGACCTCAAACAGCATTTATTAAAATCTTATTAGGATTGGCCTTTCTGAAAATGTGATACACATTTTCTTTTTATTTCACTGCAGATACAACTTTCCAGGAAAAGGCTTGACAATGATGAGAGATCCTGGGAGAATTTTCAAGAGCAAATCATGATCATTACTACATTACTACTGGCTTTATAATTGCAGGAAAACTTTGAAAGTCTCCATTTTGCCAACTTGGTGCTTTATGTTCTAAACTGTACAGGATTTTATTCTATTCCATTTTAGCATATATTAAAGTTAAAGATTTTGTGTGTGTGCACAGCAGATTACACAACTGTCCACTTTAGCTAACCTGCTTCTTATAAAAAAGCTGAAGAAAACAGATCATCCCCTTAAAATGAAACATGGAAATTTTCTTTTCTAGAGCATCTAGAAAAAATAATTGGCACCAGAACTGTCTAGTTCTGTTTACTTAACAATGAGATGGCAAAAACCTTTCAACTGGTCATGCATCCAATACCTGTTCTCCTCCCACTTTTGCTACTGAAAATTAACATCAGGGCTGTGGAACCATAAACATATTCTGGAAAACTTAAAATGTCAAGGATATTGTTCATAACCCTCTCAAAACCTTTTGTTTGTATCCCACTCTGCACCTTGTCAGGCTGAGAGCTGAACTCAAAATGTTTGTTCAGTTAGGGCAAAATCCAGAAACCTCATTGCTTGGGATTTGGTTTCATCTACACACAATCAATACGATGTTTTTGTGGGACACTTATTACACTAATTGCTGGACAAACACTTTTTTTTGTGGTCATGGCCATATTAGTATCCCCAAGAAATAAAACAAACCACAAGAAATTAACATTTAAGAAGCAGTTAGGTGCAATATACAGAGATCAAGAGCAGATCTAGGAAATATGGAGAATAATCTCGAAATTTAAGTTCATCTGTGGATAGTGCTGAGCTTCTTAAGAACTACAGGTATAAAATATTTCAACAGATGAAGTGACACTACTGCTGTCCAAATTGCCCACTGATATTGTATGGCAGTACCTTCTCCTTGAGCAAAGAAACATCCATTCACTTTTCATGATACAAACTAAATGCTAAGGAGGGAATGGAACTTTTCTCTGGGGCTGCTAAGTTTCCAAAGTACTTTTGCAAGAATACTACACATGTATACACACACAGACACAAAAATGTACTGCTGCAGTAATAGCTAAACTTAAATTTCACTGTGATAAAAATCTTGCTTGGCTTATAAGTGCGCTGTAAAAGCTACAGAGGTGCCCATGACTCCCTAATTAGCTACAAGAAGTAATAAATTGTAAACTACTTAATCAAAACAGCCATACTGTAATTTGTCTGTACTCCTAGGTGTGGCACTATGTCACAATTGTCATACATGAATGGTTATTATTTTTTACATAAATACAAATATCAGTAAAGAAAAAAGACTAATGACCACATTTTCACCTTTTTCTATGTCACATTACAAAGTTCTAGTGGAACAGAGCAGCTGTGTTTGCACCTGTACTTCATGAGGTAATAGTGATTATATCACAGTGTGTAAAAGTGTGGCTATTGGTACTCAGCAGATAAAGAAATGCTCAGATCACACCAAGAAATTATATCAAATCACCTCTCAAGTCAATCTTAGTGTACAAGGCTCCAAGTTTTCTTCTGATTTTCAAGAGCAAGATGTTGTGTATTTGTAAAAGACATATTGCACATATATATTTGCAATTTATAATTACACATACAGCAATGAAAACTGTATCTGCAACTGGTAATATAGTGTTTAAGTGAAACAAGAGAAAACTTACCTATTTGAAAAAAGAACACTTGAGAAACAACATTGACAAGCTACTTCTGCACCACTATCTACTAGAGTTTCCATCAGCTTGCCTCCAACTAGAATGTCCTCACAAAGCCAGTAACTGGAAGTGACACAGGGCTGATATCAGTTCCACTTGCTTTCTATCACCTACAACTTCAGGAGCCACATTTTCAATTTTATATTCACATCCTTAGACCATCCAAGAGCTGAGACAGATCTGCACTGTGAAGCCCGTGTAGTTTCACTGGTTAATATCAAAGGTTAATATCCGAAGCATCAAATGTTAATATCACACCTCTGATTCTGAACATACCATGGACAGCATGGCAGTATGGAAAATGTAATACTGGAGTATGGGGGAGAAAACTGCTTAGAAATCTAATTAAAGAGAATTTGTAGACTGCTACTTAGAAAATGTTACACTGTCTGTACAGTGTGGAAACTCCTGTTTTCCTTCACAAAAGAAAAGGGAAAAGCCTAGAAATTAAGAGTGGATTCTCAATCATAATAACAAATAATGTTGTGAATCCTGCCAAATTTTAAATGAAGAAAGAGTAAATGTAATCTGTAAATCAAGGACTGATATCAGCAAACTTAGAGCAAACTCATTTTCTACCACAAGCTCAGCAAGAGAAGGATGGCTTAGGAGACTGATTTTTTCCTGACTCCCAAAAGAGTGGGAATTCACATTATTTGGCTTCTTGGCACACGGTTTGAAATCAGAGATCCAAGTTAAAAATTGTTCTAGCTGTACATCTACAATTCTGAAAAAATGTGGTTGGTATCCAGGCACCTTCCCAGACACACTGACATCCATTTGCTGCTTTACAGGACAGGTTACACATTTTACACACCAAAACAGAACAACTTGATTTATTTAAAATTCACCTCAAAATGCACTGTGTTTAGTTTCTTTTTTAAAATGAACATTCAAAGCATCAAAATATTACTATTTTTAAAAGAACCTTTGTTAAGAATAATAAAATTTACATACTGTAAATTGTGTCTGTTAGGGGAGAGAAACAACCAATGGTAGATTAGGCACAATATGAAGGCCAACATGCCAGAAAACAATGCAGCTTTAAACGCAACTTTTAAATGATCTGGACAAAAAAAACCCAACTGGGCAATAAAATGAAACCAACCACTTAATTGAGAACATTTGTATAAAACAAAAGTGTTAGTAAGTTTTCTATCTAGACCTAACTCATTCATGTATTTAAAGAATTCTATCTTCTTCCAAATAACAAAAAACTGTTTCTAAACAAAGGCAGATTATTATTTGGAACCGGCATAGTAAAATAAAGGATCACAGTATACAGAGTTTAAAATCCTGTACCAGGAAAGAGCAACAAGTGGTTTACAAGGGGATCATTCAGGTATATTATCTAATTTTTAAAAACAGAGATATAAAATATCAGTTGCATAGGGATTTAAATATAAGGCCAAGCAGGAGATTAAAGTAAAATAGAGCTCATAAGAAGGGCACTATGGTGTTAAAACATAGTATTTCCATTTGAATTAATGTCTAATTCAAAATCACAGTATTTTGCTAGCACTACAAAAAGTGAAAGTCAAATTGTCCCATTAATCTTGTACTGAAAACTGACATTAGAACTTCTAAACAGTACAAAACTAAAGCTCATTGTCTAAACCTGATCAGTGTATTAGCACAACAGTGCTTGGTACGTACCTGATTTATATACTCTACCTTCTGTAAATAATATAAAGGTTATTTCTTGTTAATAAGTGTGAGATCACAATATTACTGCATGCCATCAGTGGTTTGCAGGCTTACTTGACATTTAATTATTCAGTCTTTGAAAGTGTAAGATCCCACCCTGCAGAATCTTCACCCACTGAACACAGAACACTGTCATTAATAAAATACAATAGAAGTTCCACCACTAACAACTAACATATAAGCCAGGATTTTAGGTCTAAACCCAGTACAGTTCATTATTATTAACTCACAGCAATTTTTTGTTAGGAAGGTAACCTGTAGACTTCCAAATAATCTTGTATGTATTAAATATAAACAAGTATGTAACTAATAGTTGTCTCTTGGCATTTCAAGTAGATTATTCAATTGTGAAAGTATTTCTGCAAAATAAATTTTGAGTTGTTAAAATGAAGTCCAAATATTAATTTCCATATCTACATGTAGCTTAATTAACCTAAAATTGTGAGGAATAGTAGTGTAAGGAAAAAAGAATTCTCCAGATGAATTAGACATTAAGGTACACTAACTGTGAATACCTGAACCAACATTGTAACTGAGAAAGTGCATAAACACTGTAATACCACAAATGTGTTAACTACAGAACAAAAGATTTTCTGAAAGCTAAGTGATATTATTTTACAGGTTATTTACAGGCTGTGATTTTTCCAGACACCACAGAGCCAATTCATGATCTTAAAGTTCCTTTGATATATTCGAAGTGTCTCTTGGCTTCCAACCTATTTGGTGAGGAACTGATTCCCACCCCAGGGAATCAGGTACTGTACAGCTGACACTACCATTATGGTTCTGTGATTCTTCAAAATTCAGTTCTCTCCATTCTTCAAAGACAAAGCAGTGTTTTCACTTCACACTTTTCGTGGGTGTCTCGGACTCCGTAGACTGTCTGCCATCAGTCCATGCCTCTCGCGTGCTCTTCAGGGCCAGCGTTTTCTGCTGGTCCACCACAACGTAATCAACCCTCTCGTCTGCCACGCTGCTGCCTGAGCCACTGTTCTTCTTCTGGGAACGGTGAGAAACAAGTTCAAGTAAATTAACAACAAAAAAGCAAGTAGGTGTCCCAGACACAGAACAAGCACTGGTTTCTCTGAAAGGTCCAACACTGTCTATCCACTAATCATTTGAGAAATGACCACTAAGAGATCTTGCTGAAGGCAATTTTGAACTCCTGATGGCACAACAGCAAGAGCTGAACATCTGCTTACCTTACGAGGTGGGGTAGACTTTCCCGAATCTAGGTCCAGATCTAAATATTCCACTTGTTTATCTCCTTTAGGTTTTACCATAGGGCTGCTTCCTCCATCAAGGCTATTGCTTCCAAACAAATTCTGAAATCATAATATAAACAACTTCATCTACAAATGTACAAACTAGTGGTCCACATTATCAAATATGCTTACTATAAACTGCCAAAATAAGGAAATTACTGAGACTCTTGCAATCACTTAAATCATGCAAATTTCATTGACCCTGTATGGCAAAGGAATACATTCTATGTCAAAAATGGGACAGAGTAAAAACCCAGTGGGAGGAAAAAACCTGAAAACCACCCTCCCGAATTTAAGGCTGCCACCAAACCCATCTGTGCTTTCCACTTAATGACCTCTTCATATAATGAAAAAAGAACAGATCAAGTTTTATTCTTTTTAAATGTAGTTATTATATCTCAAATTTAGCATTACTTAAGCACAAACTTTTCTATTTCCCTCAATTGTTGTTAAATACCTACAATAATTTCTGCTTTACAGAAGTGGCAAAGCTAAAATCTAAACTTTTACATTTCATTTAAAAGTCATCACGATTAAGGTGAAAATCAAAGAGTATTGTTCAATTGACAAGATTAATATATTAATATTTTGGAAAATATGTGTAGGGCTGCCTGAAATTAAGTTGCATTATATATACCTAAATTTCAATTAGCCCAGACTTTTACAACCTCACCTCCTCTGTCCTCTCCCAGCCTGATCCCTCCCTCTTAACAGGTGTTATAGGAACAGTACAATAGAAGGACTCTTCTCTAAAAGATAAAGAAAAAACAGGAAGACAGAGGGCAGCAGTCAGCAAAAAATGAAGAGGAAGGCAGAAGGAAAGACAGAGGGGTAAGGCTGAGAGCAACTTGAAAGAAAAAGCAGAATATTGCTGATTTTATTAAATATAACATAAGTATGACATGTACAAACAAGATGCTTCAAAGCTGATGACAGAAAAAGATTAAAAAATATGGACTCCTTGCTAAGATAGAGTTGGAACAAGTAAAAATTCTCAAAAAAGTCAAATTTGAAAACGAAGTCTGTGAGAAAGCTGGAAATGTTCTGGTTCTTTAGGAAATAAAATATTTTATGGGCTAAGGCCAAATGGACCGGACTTTTAAAATTTAAGTTATCCATTATATCTCTACTGTCCAACTCTTTTAACATTAAGTGGTAACATGGACAAACACAAACAACTGATATGAAGTTCATTTTTGTTTCTCAAATTCTCAGAACAAATTTCTGTGTATTAAAGATAAAAAAATTGGATTCTTTCTCAATGTTTCCAGCATAAATTTAAAAAGCTGTTACTCATTAAACAAAAAAATAATCTCTTATTTCAAACAAACTAGGCAGGCAGAACATATGCATTAGAAAACAGATACTTTAAATACACGCAAATGAAACAGAAAGGAAATTTGTAGAATAACCTTAAAATAGGACTGGTGCAAGCAAACAGAGGATATTAATGAGCTGGAGCATTAATTGTACCATCTTGGTATGGAAGTTAAGCCCCTGGAACAGCCTTAAGAATCAACAGAAACACCTGGGTTGAACTGCGATTCTGTGCAGGGAGAACTTTGGGTACTTTGGGGCTAATCTCTGGTGTAATATGGGACGCACCTGTGAAATGGGACATCACCCGTTACTTACCAATGGCCCTTGCAAGAGAGGAGCTAAGATTTAACATCAGCAGTTCCCCCGTGCTCAGTGCTTTTCCCCTGGGAAGCACAACAGGCACGGCACAAGGTACAGCTTGGGGCACTTCGCAGGCTCTGGAGCCTGCATCCCGCCCGCTCCCACAGGGAATGGCACAAGGGGGACCTGGGATGTAGCATCCAGAGGCAGCAGTGGTGAGCTGTTGGGCAGGGACACTGGAGGAGACTGGGAGGGGATCCAGAGTAGCACGGGACAGGAAAGTGAACAGCATTGCGAGAGGAGAGTCCAGGGGCAGTGAGCTGGGCCAGCATATGCCATATAAGAAGGCAGACACACAAACAGAACAAAAAGGGTGCTAGACAGACCCTCCCCAAAGGAGGTCATACATAAATGATTTAAAGATGAAAAATACTGCTGTATCCCCTACTAAGAACCCAAACATATGAGTGCACTGAACTGACTGCATGGGGCTTTGAACAACCCAGTCTAGTAGACTGTCCCTGCCCATGGCATGGGAGGTTGGAACAAGATGATCTTTAAGGTCCCTTTCAATCCAAACTGGTCCATGATTCTACACTAGACAAAAAGCATAGCTGAAGATACAGGTTTCCTCTGGTGTTTTATGCATATTCTAAACCACATTTTAGTTTCGGCCTAGGTCTACTGCTTTTGTCTTCCTTAAAACTACTGCTATTGGGTCTTTTTCTCTCTCTCCTTCCCCTCACCAAAGAAAAACCACAGTGTGCATCATTAACTTTTCCTAACTAGCTGCACTCCATGCTAAGTATCTGAAGCTTCATTATCTGAGAAAATTCTCCCCCAAAGGGGAAAAAAATACAGACACTCAATACACAAAGACTCCTTCTATCTTCTTTGAAAGACACTTAACATACACATGGTTCAGTTTTTGTAGAATGTATACAACAAGTATCAATAGCTTTTTCCTCCGTTCCTTCTACATTTCCTGGAAGATGTCTTTTTAATACAGTTTAAGCATGTCTCAGAGGTCCTAGGACAGTTTACTTCCCTTCATGTCATAATACTGAACTGGTATTCAGAAATTACAAGAAATTACAAAGAGGGGACAGATTCTAGGAAAGAAGGAGAAAAAAGTCATGTTGTATACTGTTTTATATAATAGGTATGTATCAACCATTTCCTTTATGCTCTTAACTTCTTCAGTGAAATCCTGCCAAAATTACAGCTTTGCTATGGAGATTTTTTTATGATTCTGTTGATTCTGTAGAAGTATAAAGGGAGTGATTCTGAGTGAAGGATGTGTGTTTGCATGATTTAAAAGTAAGGACTGCACAGGAAGAGAGTAGTTAAGACGAAGATTTTACATACTGGGTCGTCAGTGGACTGATTTGGGTTCATGGATACATAATTCTCTTCACTGTCGTGCGAGTCACTGCTGGAAGTTGTGCTATGAACTGAATCCGGTCTGGGAGACACGGGAAACCTGGAGGAGCTAATTACCAGGAATTATTTTACAAACAATACATCTGCAATATCTTAAACCTCCTGGTAAACAACAAAAATAAGCATGTTAGAGCTGAAATTTTCATTCAAGTTTACTAGTGTCACATTTTTTGGTTATACACAGTCCCTTATATTTAATATCACAAAACAAAATTTCACACAGACACAGTTTATTTCAATGGACAAACACACACACAGACTCACACTCTTCCAAGGGAAACTTCAAGCAACAAACAAGCTAAAGATATGATACAGATGTACACACATTTATTAACACTTCTGTCACCAAAATGATTAATCTGAATGTGGAAAATCCAAGAAACTTACTCTCGTGCAAAGCTTCTGGTGATAGGAGATCTAACTGGAGCTTGTAATTCTTCCCACTCAGGCAGAGGTTTTATTTCTAGTGGAGCTGGTTTTGCTATGTAAGAAACAGACAACTGTAAAGCACAGAACTTTCCTAAACAACTTTATATAGCTTTTTACAGCCTAAATACAGAAAAAACCTCTATCTTTCAAATAGTAAATACTAGTAAGGAAAGGGAGACACTTCAATTTTCAGAAAGACATGATATATTAACTTATGTTTTTAATCTTTTCAGGTAATGAGAGGAAACATCAATTAAAAAATTAAAATATAAAATTTAAAAAACCCACTGCAACTTCAGAATTTTGCAGCTTAGGTAGTAATTCTGTTTTGAAAGTGGCAACATCATGTTCTGTCCTCATTCTGCCTTGATGACTTGTTGAGCTGGCAAGCCAAGGCAGGGCTGATGGGCTGTTTCAGCAGAGCCAGCTCTGGGGACTTTTCTTGGTTCAGAGCCAGCTGTTAATATGCAAACTCTGCCCTCGCTGTGTACTTGTGCCCTTACTGGTGAGGTTTCATAGCTCCACAAGTGGGCAGAACCTGCAGCTAAGACTAAGGTCTGCAAAAGTGAGCAAACAGCAGGAGGAGCCTGGCTCACTTCAGAGCTCATCCACAGTCCAGCAGAGCAAAGTGCCACTCACGACAGGTAACACTGCTCTCAAAAAAAGTGCCATTTTAAAACTCCATTTTCAGAACAGAACCATGAGTAGGCTGTTAGCAAGACACACTTTATCCCTCCCTCCAGCTTATACGTCTCACCCCTCCTAAACATTAGAAAAAAACCTAAGTATAAAAAGGCTTTTGGAAAAAAAAAAAATCACAGAGTCAAACTGCTGTCAACTTTATTCTCCCTAAAGCTGTTTTTAGAAAACAGAATGCAATATCATCATAAAAACAGCCCTTTCTCTCCTTGTGCCCACACTCACCATGAGTTTTCTGCCTCTTGGCAGGTTCACTAAGATCAAGTGTCAGGCACATAATGACAGAACTGAATGCGACATAGGCAAGATGATATTAAAGCACGACTGACACAAAAATTGATCAGATTGGCTCAGGTCCTCTGTAAAGGTCTGAGACAACCTGGCAGGAATAAACAGTGGGCGAGGTACTGCTGCAGCAGACAGAGCCAGGACTTTGTCCAAAGCCCACCAAGAACAGCAGAAGTACTTCATCCTGTTGCAATGGACTTCAAAACCCAAAGGTAATTAGTGATATTTTTCTGAGATTTTTAATGTTGTTCATAATTTTCTCTACTTCTTGTGACTATGTAAGGCACAAACTCAGCATCTTCAATAAAGCCCATCAAATTAATTGCAATCCTCTTTAAGGTGCATAAATAGATGTCTGTACTAGTGTATGATCAGAATATCAGTATTTTGCTTCATTTCAAGAGACCTAAGTGAATTGTGATTTCAGGTTATTGCGTAACAAAAGTTTCAAGTAGCTTACAAGTTACTATATACAATTTACAAGTTATTATATACTTCCCTCTAAATAAATATACAAAATATGAACAGCTACAACTTAAGAGATCAGAACATTCATGTTAATATCAAAGAAAAGTTTCCATGCACTGTTCAAGCCAGAAAATCTTTAATTCCTTATACAGGAAACTAGTTGCTTGGCATGGAAAATGCATTCATGACCTTAGACTATAGCAGAAAAGAATATGCCAGAGTTATTCTAAAAGTACAATTTTCTTAATTTTTGGTTCACTTATTTTTATAAAGCTCCATATACATACAGTGCTAAAGTACATACCCTTTCTTCTTGTTGTAAAGTCACCTATGGTTTGTGAATCAGTTCGCTCTAAACCATGTGGTTTAGGTCTTAAAATTTTAGGACTTTGACCTAATTGGCAAAAAGAAGACTCTCTTAATAATATTCTATTTGTAATTGGAAAACTGGAATTTTATAAATAAACATCACAACCCCCTGCAGAAAGGTTAATGCCACAAGCATTAGCAAGTTGCTGAAGGCGATTTTGAAGTCTAGCTGGGGCTCACACTAAGGGCTTAAGCACCAAACCAGAAACAAAGAAAACACTGCATGCAAGTAATAAATATATTGGAGGCAAACGTAAAAGCTGTACAAAAAGGCTAAAAAGTGCATCAACAAATATTGTAACTGATCATTACTACTAACTGGTTTGATTAAAAAAAATACATATTTGAGGTATATTTAGTATGAAAGGAGAAGAGTCATGTTTCAGATACAAGTTGAAGTACCCTCAGAGAAATTAAATCCTCCTTAGTCACAACATTTCTTTGGAAATAATGATTCTTGGGAGTCTCCACTCCTATGGTGCTCTTGGGAGGTCTTCTACCCAATGTGCATCCCCCACTTGAGATGCCCCGAGAATCTTTTTTAACAGTGTATTTGTTAAACTTGCTCCCTAGCGGTCTCCCTCCATCTGTCTGTACCAAACCCCACCACTCCGACCCTGCAGACACAGTAGGATTTTCTTCCTAAATTTCCAGCCTTCATACTGCCCCCCAACCAAGGCACAATCCAACCTCCACCAGAAATGACCATAGCATGAAAATACCAATCATCTCCCTACAGACAGTAACACATATCCCCTTCAAAAACAAGGATTTTCTTTAGCCAACTTGACCAAACTATGCAAATGTTCCAGGTCATGCCGTCTATTTTAAATAAATATGATCAATAATGTGTAGTAGCCCTAAGCTTTCATTAAAGTCTATCTGACAAAGTGTTAATATTAAAAAAGGCAATTGCCTTCAAGTGGTACACCAAGAAGCCATATGAATAAACCAAATGAAAAGTTTAAGTCTGGTTATGTTAGAAAGCTGCCCTACAGCACAAAATGGAAAAGGACTGGTACAGACTCAGGTGTGGTACTCCCAGCAATGGGTGAGAATGCTTTGTAAAGAATAAACTTGGCAACAAACACCAGAAGTTTGCAAATCTCTACCCCAGGGGTTTTGCATATGAAGTGCTCTATTACTGTTATCACTGAAGTATTGGGAATAATCAAGTAACAACAAGTAAGGTAAACACAGAGGTTTTGTACTGTATCTTAACTTCTACACAGTGCTTCTGAGAGACCATGCAGATAAGATAAAATTTATTTATTCATTAGTAGTGCTGCATAGCAACTTCCTTAAAAAGTAAAGGACATGAAATGTTTTTTACACGGACAGTTCTTTCCCAATTTCAAAATCAGATGCTCCAAAAAAATGCCTCAATGTACTGATGAAACGGGGGAACAGTTGGGCAATACTGACCAAAGACACAGACTGTGAAGTAGAACATGAAGTATTTCTGACTAGAGCCAAGTAAAAAGCACGAACCATCATGTTGGTGTACTCAATTCTGAGCTGATCCAGTATTTTTAAGTCCTTGCCTATAACTCTCTGATAAAAGCCTGCCTAATTAAAAAGACCAGGATCTTCAAACTGATGGAACAAATGTAGAAGTTCAAATCCAAAAACTTTTTATTAAGGACAATCTGATGCTGAATACCATTTCCTGATCATAATTTTGTATTTCACAGTTTTATAATCTGATTTAAAAGAAATCTGGCCCAATACAACTCAAATTAATATGCACTCACGTAGAAGAACGGATTGTAAGCACAGAGAGAAAAGTAGCAGAGGTAACAGAGTTAAATTATTTAAGCAGCATGCACTTAATAACCTCTGCTCTTATAACCAAACAGATTGAAGTGCCTGAAACCCATAATACAGAGCTAAGCTCAAGGAACTCAAAGAATTCATTATTTCTCCTTCTGGTAATGATGCTACATGGTCAAGCACAGCCAACCTTTCTGAACTGGGATTAGCCCCATTTGTAAAGTGTGGATATTATGTAACTGTCTGCTTCACACTTAATTTAGTACTTACAACCACTCAGATTTTCAGAAGAGCTAAATAAATAAGTACCGGTCCCTTTAATACTTCTACATTGGACAGGAACGTACAAAACTGAGTTTTTATCTCTTGCTGCTGGAAGACTGTTCAATCGCAATAAATTTGGTGGCAAACCAGCTTGCTGCTACCAACCAGCCAGGATAATGCAATTCTTCCCATTTAATGTGTCACAGAGAATTAAAATATTTGTCCAGAGTGTTTTCTTTTTCCTCCCTACAAAACAAAAAACCCAAAGGCCTAATCTCTGTTGAGGAGCTTATACTGTGCAACAGGAAAGCTCTGACACCAGGCAAAGGAAAAGAGAAGGGCAGGATCAAAATCACGAATCTGAGCTTACCTATTTGTGTAACTGCAGAATGCTTTCACCCTGTTTTTGCTCATTTAAGAAGATAAAGTGACACGAGACAAGGCACTGAAAGCCCTTAATAATATCCCTTACTGCTTTCAAAAGACAATTTTCCCCAGGAGCATGTGCCTGTATCTCTGAAAAGCAACAAACTGATTAAAATATAGAGGGGAAAGTGTTTCCCACCTGTACAACAGGCTGGTCTCCCACATCTGTTCTATCCACAAATACTCACTAAAGTGTCACAGGGCTGTTTGTCAAATCAGTGTAGTGACAGTAGGGCTCTGTGGAGAGCCTGGCTCCATACAGCATTCCAACACCAGCAATACTGAGGAACACATTTCCTGTGGTTTGCACAGGCCAGATTTACCTCATCTAAAGAACAATAATACTTCTAACTTACACACATCTTCTGGGAAAGATAAATCTGGGTTAAAAAAAAAATTCATTTATGCAATTTAATTTTTTTTCTAACTGAAAAGGAAATAAATGTTGCAACACCACTGGATGCAAACCTACACAGGGAAAAACAAAAACCAAACCCAAATAAATTATGTCAAGTGAAAGCAACCAAACAAGAAGTGAAAATTAGATGTTTTTACTGTTCTATCAAGTCACCACCTGTGAAATGCAAAATGCCACAGCCAGGAGACAAAAGCTCAGCTTCTGCAGGCTCTATCAGACTGCACAAGGGCACTCTGAGCTGAAAAATCACTAGTGAAGTCTATTTTTCTAACAAATGGCTGCTTGTACAAACTGCCAGGCAGAGCAGGCGATTATGGCTGTGGCACTGTAGCACACTCAGATTCACGAATTCTGCTCCTGACATTTGGGGCAAGTCAATGCTGCCTTTGTCTGCGAAGTCACCAGGAGAAGAGTCCATTTGACATGCTTGAGCTTGTTTCAAAACAATGGTTTAAACTGAAAAATCCTTTTTAGTTTTTACATTGGCTCTTGTTGTTTTCCATAGAACACTTGGAATATAATACTGGGGGAGAGGAAGTCCCACTCCAGTAAATTCCTGCATCAATGTAGATGGGTCCTAATGTTTTTTGTTTTGAGGACATAATGCTGAAGAGATTTATTTGTTCTCAGACTATTGCCTTGAAACACCAGAACTAAACATGATTTCTATTAAGGACACTTCTTTCCTGACTGGATGCTTGCTCCATGGCTTGCTGGCAAGGGATTTCACATCAGGAAATTGCAAATATCCTCACAAAAGAGGCCAACTCTTCCATTTAAATACCAGCTATTTAGGGCTTAAATTTTTAAGGTAAATATACTAATGTAACATAAAATCTGAGAAATGCATTATTTATTTCCTGGCCAACAGGACTAATCCTGATGAGACAAGGAGATCATATGTAGGAATGCTAGAGCAGTGCTGTGCTTGGGATAGAGGAAGGGGGGAGCAAAAGGAGAAACCAGCCACCTAAGTGCTCTGCATCCACACAAAAGTACTTTCAGAGAGAAATAACTAACCACAGTTCCTTGTTTCCATCAAGAAAATACATATCTTGCTCCCTTTCCTTTGTAATTAGATGAAACTGAAATTTGCAGAGGTCCAAGAATTCCTGTACTCAGAATCACTGTAGACTTTTCCTCAAAAAACAAGGCTGAAATTCACTGTCTTGCTCCCAAATAATTTATTATTTGGTTTTCAATTCTGCAGAGTAAATTCCTGCTTTTCTTCTCTTCCTCTTCCTCACCCAAGTGAACCCTGATTCCCAAGTACATGGTCTTCAACACAGAGCTCTACAAATATCCTGAATTTGCTTTTTCATCTCTGTTTTTGTAAGACTGTTTCCTGCCAAGATACTTGTAATGAGAAACATGTATTTAGTTATACAACGTTCAAATGGATTTCCATGCTAATATCACCAACAAATAGGAATATCAATAATATGTTTTGTGCTGACTGGGGATAAGATATGGATGCTGGTAACTATGGTCTCTTTAAGACAATAAAAACAAATTGAAATCAACTTATTCTTCAGTATTATGAAAAACAAAATGCAGTCATATAAAGAGCTGCTCTTCAGTCTTCTCAGACATCTTTATCCCCTCAAAATAACTTTTTACAGTGAACTGGGACTTTGAATGCTACAGAAATTAAGAATGAATTGGAAAAACTGGATCTGACAGCTAACATTCACTGGTATTTCTAAAATATTTGGCAAATGCTATAAAAGTATTTAAAGAATGGCAAATGTTATAAAACTACTCAGTGAATACCAAAGCTATTAATCATCAAAATACTATTTAACTACTCTAATTTAAGTAACTCTACACAACTGTATTTTAAAAGCCCCCAAAGCATGATGAACTGAAAACAGGCAATAACAAACACTGTTTTAAAACATGTACAGTGTTCTGGAGTGTTTATGGATGAGCAGTTTAAGGCTGCACAAAGATTCGTGAAGCCCAAAAGACTTCAAAAATAAAACACAGAAAAAATAACAAAATTTAAATTATTCACTGGAAAACTAAAGATTAACCTTAAGCCTATTACAAAGTAATGGAATAGCATGACAATATCTGCATTAAAAACTATGTTTTTTTTTGAAAAAAGTGATAAGGGCACAGCAAAGAAGAGAAATATTTTA